ATATAGTTCTGCTCCAGATGTTGGACCTGGTTCTGATGAGTAAAACTTTCATTTGTTCTCTCAGAACATCCAGACCGGGTCTGAGACAGTACCTGTCGGCGTCGGCGGGTCGCAGCGACGGCAGTCTGAAGCTGGTGTTCCGGTCCAGTTTGGTCTGACTCCTGGTCCTCTTGATGGAACCTTTGAGGCGTTTGCTGAAGAAGCCCTGAAAGAACAAATAGAACCAGGATGAGAAGAGTCCAGCTGCAGGAAGCTCCAGCTCTTTGGGTCGGACCTCCTGTGTCCACAAGGTGGCGCCACAGCAGAGGTCAGAACCGGTCAGGGTTCTGCAGAAGTTCTTCTTTCTCACATCAGAGGTGAACCCAAACAAACTGATGTCTGATTATTGGCTCTGTGTGGTTCTGGTATCATTAGTTCTGTGTGGTTCTGGTATCATTAGTTCTGTGTGGTTCTGGTATCTCATGAGTTCTGTGTGGTTCTGGTATCTTTTCCATCTGATCGACCCAGATTTGTTCACAGCGGGTCAAACAGAACCAACGGGTTCTGATTCTACAGGATGAACCTTCATCAGGAGGAAGACTACAGATGGATCAAAGAATTTTTTCCTCAAACCCATCAGAACCAGGACCAGAACCAGGCTGGGTCTCAGATTTATCAGCTGCATTAAAAATAAAGACTTTAGTTTCTGTCGATGGTTCTGAAGTTTGACCCGACTGTGGAGGTTCAGAACCAGCAGCTTCAGAACCACCTGCAGACCAGTCTCATCAGAACCTGGGGTTTTGGATCTCCTGTCATCAAAGGGTTCGGAGCAGTCCTGTACCTGGTTCTAACGGGACTCACCGGCACCTTGAACGGAGACGAGTTGGAGTTATCGATCACTGAGCTCTTCTCTGAACTGCTCACACCTGACAGGCTCCGCCTTCTTGGAGAGCGCTCCGAGGACACCTCTGCAGAGACAGGAAGAGACAAAATGTCCTGATTACCTTCATCAGACTGATGAACTTCATCATCATCATCACATCATTAATATAATCAGCATCATCATCATCATCATCATCATCATCATTAATATAATCATCATCATCATCATTAATATAATCATCATCAACATCATTAATATAATCATCATCAACATCATCATCAACATCATTAATATAATCATCATCATCATCATTAATATAATCATCATCAACATCATTAATATAATCATCATCAACATCATCATCATCATCATCATTAATATAATCATCATCAACATCATTAATATAATCATCATCAACATCATCATTATCATCATTAATATAATCATCATCATCATCATTAATATAATCATCATCAACATCATCATTATCATCATTAATATAATCATCATCATCATCATTAATATAATCATCATCATCATCATCGTCATTAATATAATCATCATCATCATTAATATCATCATTAATATAATCATCATCATCATTAATATCATCATCATCATCATCATCATTATATATAATCATCATCACCATCATCATTAATATATAATCATTATCATCATCATCATTAATATAATCATCATCATCATCATCATTAATATAATCATATCAACATCATCATCATCATCATTAATATAATCATTGCAACATCATCATCAACATTATATATAATCATCATCACCATCATCATCATTAATATAATTATTATCATCATCATCATCATTAATATAAATATTATCATCATCATCATCATTAATATAATTATTATCATCATCATCATTAATATATAATCATTATTAACATCATCATCATCACCATCATCATATTAATACTGTTTAATTATCAACATCATCATCATCCTCATCAAAATAATCATCATCACCATCATCATCAACATCATTAATATAATCATTATCAACATCATCATCATTAATATAATCATCATCACCATCATCATCATCGTTAATATAATCATTACAACATCATCATCACCATTATATATAATCATCATCATAATATAATTATTATCAACATCAACATCATTATCATTAATATAATCATCATCACCATCATCATCATTAATATAATCATTACAACATCAACATCATTAATATAATCATTATCATCATCATCATTAATATAATCATTATCAACATCATCATCATTATCATTAATATAATCATTATCAACATCATCATCATCATTAATATAATCATTACAACATCATCATCATCATCATCATCATTAATATAATCATTACAACATCATCATCATCATTAATATAATCATTACAACATCATCATCATCATTAATATAATCATTACAACATCATCATCATCATCATTATATATAATCATCATCACCATCATCATCATTAATATAATTATTATCATCATCATCATTAATATAATCACTATCAACATCATCATCATCATTAATATAATCATTATCATCATCATCATTAATATAATCATTATCAACATCATAATCATCAAAATTAGCATCCACACCATTAGCATAATCATCATCATCATCATTAATATAATTATCATCATCATCATCACATCATCTTTATTAATATAATCATTATCAACATCATCATCATCAAAATTAGCATCCACACCATTAGCATCATCAAAATCACCATCATCATCATCATGATCAACATCAACATCATCATCATCACTATGAGCATTATCATCAACAAAATTATCATTATAATTAGGGGTGTCCCGATACCAGTTTTTTCAAGACTGAGTACTAGTACGAGTACTTCAGTTTGGGTACTCGCCGATACCGATACCGATACCAAGTAGCGGGGTCGGATCCGATACC